CAAAATAAATAAATGGGGAAAAAAAAAAAAAAAAGATGTTCTTCCATATTTAGACTGAGAGGAAACATGAGCAGATAAAGCAGCTACTGTGCCGATGGGCAGTGAGCACCGTCAGTGTGGTAAGTTTCCCTTTATTGATGATAAATGTTGTTTCAAATAATGCAATTTGATTTGTTTGCTTTGGGTAGAAAAAATCATTTGTTTCAATAAAATTAGCTCTTCAAAATGCCAAAAATAAAGGTTAGTGTTCTCTGTTATTGAAGGAAATTCCCAAAGGTAAGGAATGATTTGTAAGTGCCACTGAGCTGGGTTTAGCCACGTGGAAATTATAAGAGCACAGCGACTTCTGGCTATGTGACCTGAGGGGCCAGCTCCCATTATGCTCACTCTGACTTTTTTCTGAATTTTTAAATTTATTTTGTTGTTGCTGAGAATATGCACAGCAAAACATACACCAATTCAACAGTTTCTCCACGTACAATTTAGTGACACTGATTGCATTCTTCAAGTTGTGCAACCATTCTCACTTTCCGTTTCTGAGTTGTTCCTCCCCATGAACTCACTGCCCTCCCCACCCAAGGTTTCAATTCACCTCTAAAGAAGCAAATGCTAACGTCTTCAGGGTAAAATTAACAGTGTATCTTCCCCATCAGTAATTAATCCTCCTTAGCTAGAGTAAGGGAAAGCTTAATCATGCTGGGGGTTTGGGGAAGAGAGAAAAATCACACCCATGAGACTTAGTAACAACAGCAATAGCTACAATTTATTGGTAGTTACTATATGCCCAAAGACAATGCAAGTGTCCTACAGGCATTACCCCACTTAAGCCTCCCAAAACTCTATACAGTAGTACTAATATTGTCCTCATTTTACAGATGATGAAACTGAGGCTCAGAGAAATTAAGTCACTTGCCCAAAGTCACAGCCAGGAAGCCACACACCTGGATCTGCATCCAGATCTCTAGGTCTCTGCAGCCTATGCCTCAAATCACTGTGATTGAAGCATTGTTGTTGTTACTAGGTGCCATTGAGTCGGCTCCAACTCATAGTGACCCTGTGAACAACAGAACAAAACACTGCCCGGTCCTGTGCCAGCCTCACCATCCTTTCTATACCTGAGCCCATCATTGCAGCCACTGTGTCAATCCATCTCGTTGAGGGTCTTCCCCTTTTTCGCCACCCCTCCACTTTACCAAGGATGGCATCCTTCTGACAACATGACCAAAGTAGGTGAGACAAAGTCTGACCATTCTCGCTTCCGGGGAGCATTCTGGCTGCATTTCTGCCAGGACAGATTTGTAAGTTCTTCTGGCAGTCCATGATACTTTGGGTATTCTTCACCAACATCACAACTCAAAAGCAGCAACTCTTCTTCAGTCTTCCTTATTCATTGTCCAGCTTTCACATGCGTATGAGGCAACTGAAAACATCATGGCTTGGGTTAGGCGCACCTTAATCTTCCAAGAGACATCTGGGCTCTTCAGCATCTTAAAGAGGTCTTGTGCAGCAGATTTGCCCAGTGCAACACATCATCTGATGTCTTGAGTACTGCCTCCATTGGTGTCGATTGTGGAACCAAGAATATGAACCTTTGACAACTTCAATCTTCTCTCCATTTATTATGATGCTGCTTATTGGTCCAGTTGTGATTTTTGTTTTCATGTTGAGATGTAAGCCATACTGCAGAGTGTAGTCTTTAATCTTCATCAGTAAGTGCTTCAAGTCACCCTCACTTTCAGCAAACGAGGCTGTGTCATGTGCATATCACAGTTGTTAACGACTCATCCTCCAGTCCTGATGCTGCATTCTTCTTCACAGAGTATAGCTTCCTGGATTACTCGCTCAGCATACAGACTGAAGAAGTATGGTGAAAGCATACAACCCTGACATGCTCCCTTCCTGATTTTAAACCATGCTGTATTCTGTTGCTCTGTTTGAACAACACCCTCCTAATTCTTTGTACAGGTTCCTCGTGAGTACAATTAGGTGTACTTGAAGGGTACTGGATCATTATCTAATGAATTCATGTGTCCTTCCTTTTGCATATACAGATGTCTCTCCTAAAAGGCCATTTCTCCTGTCTACACAGCAAACTCCTATTCATCCTTCAAGATCCCAGATCAAGTATCTGCTCCTACGTGAAGCTTTTATAACTACTGTCTCCCAAGGCCGTGGACAATTTTCTGCTGAGGGTGTGCTCAACGCCCTGCACATTCCTCTACTGCAAGATGTATGTCATGCTGTCCTAATTTATCTAACACATGTCCTTCTCCCTTACAGGCACCGTGTCCTAATCACCTCTGTAATGCTCAGTGCCCAGCTAAGTGTCTGGTACATAGTGGGCACCTGAAAACTCACTTCTGTTAAATGAATTAATTTGGAAGGAAAGATTGTTCTAGTCTACTTTCCTTATATCCCCACAATAACTAGCATAAAAGTAAATGTTTAATAAATATTTGTGAGTAATTAAATAGATGGATAGATGGATGGATAAAAGGATAGAAAGAAAGGAAGAAGGGGAGAAAGAGGAGGAGGAAAGAAACAGTGGGGGCTTAATAAACACATCACTCACCTGAATGCCCCAGGTCTGCAGTTGCTCCTCTGCCGCTCCCAGATCAAATGAGATGGGTGCACAGGTATTGTCGATCCGGAGAACTGTGAGGACCTGGCCATTGCGGAGCTCTGAAAGAAGACCAGACGGTGCCCCGTTACTGAACATTTTGATCAAAGACTCCATAGAAGAATCCTAACCAAAGGTGGAGGCGGGGAACGCAGAACAGAATTCCAGATTCTCATGGAGTCAAGAGCCCTGGGGGGTGGATGAACCCCTGGAACTACTGCCCTGAGATAACCTGTAAACCTTAAACCAAAAGTATCCCCTGAAGTCTTCTTAAAACCAAATAACAGAAGAGCTTAACTAGTAAAGAATGTTTGCTTTATACACTCCTTAGAATGAGCAATCATGGAGAACACAAGGGCAGTGTTTGCACAGGGAGATAGCTGAAGGGGCAGGAATGCTCAGGAAAGAAGGACCCAGAAGAGGTAACTACAGGGAGGAAGTGGGAAGAGAGCTGTTACACTGCAGGGAATCGCAATCAACGTCATGATACAAAATGTGTATGAATTGCTATACGGAAAGTGAATTAGCTCTGTAAACTTTCACTCAAATCACAATGAAAATTAAAAAAATAAAATTAAAAGAATGTTTGCCTTGAGCATTGGATCTATCTACATGGGATCAACTTGCCAACAGCAACTCAGAAGACTAGACAGGAACCTTAGGAGGCAGTGGGTCTGTTACGGGGGAGGAACAACCTGGGGAAGGAGATAAGGACGGTTGCGCTACTCGAAGGATGTAATTAACGCCCCTGAATTGTACATGTAGAAACTGCTGCTATGTATATTCTCAAAAACAAAAATAAAATAAATTATTAAAAAAAAAAAAGACCAGAAGCTTCATCTGGCCAAGTGATAACTATCTTAGATGGGCCCAAAGCCTGACGGCATCACCCCCACTGGCTGTGAGAACCTTCTCTTGGTGAGAAAGGACCCAGTAATCATCTTCAAATCCCAAAAGGGCAGCCCTACAGGAAAAGTCCTGCAGAGAAGGAAGTTTCTGAACTTGACCAGAAAGACCCCAGGAGGCAGAACTGAGGCCAGGGCTTACAGGTTACTAGGGCAACACAAGACCATATAAGGGGGAATGCCCAAGAATGAGAACAGTCTACACAAAATATGGAAGGTAGTGAGTTCCCCATTACAGGAGAGAAACTAAACAACTAACTATATGAAGGGGATGCCATAGTGGGTATTTATTCATCAGTGGACAAGAAGTTCAATCAAGTAACTCTTATATTCCCAGTCGGCTCACAGAACCTAAGGAAGCCATAAGTGATTGTGTAGACAGAATAACGGCCCCCACAAAGATGTCCACGTCCTAATCCCCAGAACCTATAAATATGTTACCTTACAATGCAAAGGGGAATTAATTACAAATGGAATTAAGTGGTAACCAGCTGACGTTAAAACAGGGCAAGTATCCTGGGTCATCCGATGTAATCACAAGTTTCCTTTGAAGTGAGAGAGGGATGCAAAAGAAGAGCCGCCATCAAGGTGACAACTATGGCAGGAAGGCACCGAAGGGCAACACTGCTGCTTTGAAAATGGAGGGAGAGGGCCGCAAGCCAAGGAACGTGGGTAGCCTCTAAAAGCTGGAAACGGAGAGGAACTAGATTCTCCTCTAACGCCACCAGAAAGGAACACACTCTGCTACACCTTGATTTTAGCCCAGTCAGACCCACGTCAGATGTCTAACCACAAAACTGTAAGATAAATTTGTGTCGTTTTAAGCTTCTGTGTTTGTGGTAATTTGCTACAACACCCACAGAAAACAAGTATATTGACTTATCCAAACTTAACGCCCACTACTTACTCAACATTTTAAAAGCCTAAGATCAGGTAAGTGTTTGTTCTGTCAAAAAACTCATAATACCATAGGCTGGTCACAACAGTGATCAAAACTCTTGCCCAAGCAAGGCAAAGACTTTTCATGGTGTCCTTGTCTGCCTTTCAAGCTATAAGAAACCAAACTCACTGCTGTCTATTCAAATCCAATTTACAGTGACCCCTCTTGGAATTCCAAGGTGGTATCTACATGGAAGTATATTGCCCAATCTTCCTTCTGATTTTGTTTTTGTTTTGTTTTGTTTTTTGAGTTTTTTAAGATCAGTTAAGTGTTTGTTCTGTCAAAAAACTCATCATCCCATAGGCTGATCACAACAGTGATCAAAACTCTTGCCCAAGCGAGGCAAAGACCTCTCATGGTGTCCTTGTCTGTCTTTTGAGCTATGAGTTCCTGGATTCCTGGCAATGAGAGTAGCTCTCGTCAGTTCTTTAAAGTGAAGAAAATGCAACCTCCCTCGCTAGGGTGGAGAACAGACCACAAGATTGAATGAGGAAGTCTGGTTGGTCTGAAGTGAAACCTCTGGACAGAAATTCCCTCCAATCCAGCAAGGAACAGCAGCAGAATGAAGTCAACCAACCTCAAGTTCTGAGTGACGACCAAGGACAAAAGGACCAAGATCTCCTGTGAGTACGAACCAGGGGCTTCATGGAGGGGATTCCAGCCCTGAAATTCTAGAAACCTAGTGTCTAGTCAGGAGCTCTGGTGGCATAGTGCCTAAGGCACTTGACTGCTAACCAGAAGGCTGGCAGTTCAAACCCACCAGCCACTTCTCAGAAGGAAGATGGGGCAATCTACTTCCGTAGTGATACTGCCTCGGAAACCCAAAGAGGAGTCGCTATGGGTCGGGTCCGACTCGACGGCAAACAACAACAACGGTGTCCAGGCATGCAAGGCCAGGGATGGATATTTTGGCACGCTCTTTGTGGCTGTTGTTTAGAAGATGACACAGAACTACAGGGATTAAATTCACATATACTATCCACTGGCCAAAGTTCCTGCTACCTCACAGCCCAGCCCTGGGCCAATATCTAAGCCTTCCAAGACAAACAACTAACTCTACTTCATGGTTTGCCACTCATCTGCCAGTCTGTCATACTGTGAGGGCTTGTGTGTTGCTGTGAGGCTGGAAGCTATGCCAACTGGCATTTTAAACATCAGCAGGGTCACTCATGGTAGATATGTTACAGGAGCGCTTCCAAACCAAGACAGACTAGGAAAAAGGACAGGGTAGTCTACTTCTAGAAAAACTGACTGGTGAAAAGCTTATGAATAGCAGTGGAACACTATCTGATATTGTGATGGAAGATGAGGCCCTCAGGCTGAAAGGTATTCAAAATACAACTGGTGAAGAGCTGCTTCCTCAAAGTAGAGTCAACTGTCATAACATGGATGGAGTAAAGCTTTCAGGACCTTCATTCGCTGACGTGACACGACACAAAGTCACTGTACCAGAAAGAACTGGCCGATGTTCAACCATTTCAGGAGGCAGCACATGATCCAAAACCAATGATAATGAAGGAAGAAGTACAAGCTGTACTGACGGAACTGGTGAAAAACAAGCAGGAATTGACAAAACACTCCTGAGGGGTTTCAACAAACAGATGCAATGATGAAGGCACTTACTCATTTGTACCCTAGGAAATCTGGAAGACAGCTACCTGGCCAACTGACTAGAAGAGAGAGATATCTGTGCCCTTCCAAAGAAGGTGATCAAACAGAATGTGGAAATTATCAAAGAATATCATTAATATCACACGCAAGTAAAATTTTGCAAAAGATTGTTCAAAAATGGTTGCAACAGTATATTGACAGGGAATTGCCAAAAATTCAAGCTGGATTCAGAAGAGGATGTGGAACGAGGGATATCATCGCTGATGTCAGATGGATCTTGGCTGAAAGCAAACAATACAAGAAAGACATTTACCTGTGTTTCATTGACAACACAAGAGCACTGGACTATGTGGATCATAACTAATTATATCAGGTATATATAACATTGCAAAGAATAGGAATTCCAAAGCACTTAATTGTTCTCATGAGGAAATTGTATATAAACCAAGAGGCTGTCATTTGAACAGAACAAGGGGATACTACATGGTTTAAAATCAGGAAGGAAGTACAGACAACAAATATGAACCCTTTTGCATATACAGTACTGAGTTGTAAGTGAAGGCAAACATGGGTATATGGATGGATAGATAGGTGGACAAGCTAAACGATTAGGTATGTCTATGAAATGGGGAGTGTATCCAAGACCATATATAGGGTTGGCAGACAATGGTCCTATAAGTTTATGTGAATGATTAGAATTCCCAGGTATATAGTAGAGGTGACAAGAGGCAAGGTTGTGGTCACTGTTTGGTCACAGCCAGCTACCCAGAGGGACCGAGTAGTTGAACCTGCAGGCTTGGGACCACAGTCACAGGGGACATCAAGCTCAATTGGCATAACATACTATACAAAACATTGTTCCATCTCCCACTTTGGCAAGTAGCAACTGGGATCTTAAAAGCTAGCAAGCTGCCATCTAGATGCAACGATGGGTCTCGCCTCGTCAAGAGCAAAGAAGAAAGAAGAAAACCAAAATTAACGGAAACAATCAGTCCTAGCTACTGGTACACCATCCGATCTGCAACCTATACAACTATGAGACCAGAAGAACTAGATGGTGCCTGGCTACCAATGTCATCCACTTGGAAAGGATGTAGGAGATCCTTGATAGAGAGAGAACACAATGTGAAACAAAACTCAAAATCATTTGGAGGGAAAAAAAAAAAAAGAAAAAGAAGGTGGGGACCAGGTTTGCTGGTCCAATAGAGCCTGGTGGAACCACTGAGACTATGGCCCCTAGCTGCCCTTCAGGTCTGGAATTGAACCCACACCTGTGGTTTCCAGCCAAACAATGTACAGGCATGAGAGTTAAACATTTACGTCAAGTAGACACACGCCCTGGAGAGAACAATCATGGGAGAAGGAAGGGCTGCTTATGCACAGGGAGACAGCTCAGGGCGCAGGAGAGTATGGAGGGATGGTCACTGGGAAGAGGTAACTATGGGGAGGAAGTGGGAGGGGAGCTGTTGCATTGTAAATTGTGGTCAATGACATGAGACAAACTATATGTGAACTGCTGTATGGAAAGTGAATTCACTCTGTAAATCTTCACCCAAGTCACAATAAATAAAATAAAATAAATAAAAAATAAAATCAGGAAGGATGT